GTTCGATACTTACTTGCAACAGAAGTTGCAACCAGCTTGCTAACATCAATCCGTTGATGGCGGTCACTTCGTTGTCCACTGAAAAGTAAGGCAAGATTGGCGCAGACCAAGGCATGGTCAGAGTCCAGATAGGTACTCCAAAAGGAGCGGCAGTCTTTACACAACCACGCCAGCGGTAGCTGATCGCGATGTGATCAATCTGAGTCCAGGCTTGAGATGCAGAGGGAGGACGCCAGGTGGCACATCGGCGATGACTGTGCCGAAAGTTAGTGCTAGCCAGAAACAGGTTGTGGTCTGTGCAAAGTTGCAGTAGACGGTCCCCGTTATCTGACCTGCGACCAACGAGTCCCCATCGGCCACCTAAACGACTCTCTTCTGTGCCTAGACGCCCGACCTGAGCATTCAAGTCTCCGGCTAGTACTACAATATCTGTCGAACGCACTTTCTGGAGAAGAACAGATAACTGGTGGTAAAACTCATCCTTGATTGCATCCGGGCTGCAATCTGTCGGGGCATAGGCGGAGATGACGAAAAGACATCGTTTCTCACGCCGATTTCTTCTCACTTTGATGGAACTTTCTAATCTAACAGCACATAACCGACTGTTAATGGGGATCCAATCGACTAGTGCTGCCTCAGCTCTAGCGCTTAGTGCGACACCAACGCCAGCAAGACCAGACGAAGATGCCACAGGGTCCCCGGATAAGCGCACGTAAAACAAGCTTTTCGAAGCGACAGATGGAGATCGAATTTGTAGTACTTCGCCAGAGTCTTGAATACGGGTCTCGGATAGACAACAAACATCAATATTAAGACTTTCCAAAGACATAGCCAGCCCTATCTGTTGTCCGACCTGCATAAATGTGCGAACGTTGAAGGCAGCCAGTTTGAATGGTGCACGTGGTTTCAGAAAAACTGCTTCAGTACTCATATTCGGTGGTAACATACAATTTTCAACCGGACAGTGACTCGAGAACGTTTAGATACAGTCGGATTTCCACCACGCCACTTGTTCCCGCAGGATACTGGAGCCCATGTGCACCATTGGTTTGTGATCCGGTTAAATCGCCGGACATTCGCTTTTTGTCCTGTCAATTTCGTAAATAACACCCCGCCACGAGGCGGTGAGTAGGACTCTAGAATAAAGCATGAAGTTATCTTGAGTAGTTAGAGATGGCCTATTGTCACAGTCTATATTATTATTGAGATTCAATCTAAACCTAAAAATATACAAAGATGCTAGTGACATCTACTAAATGATCCTGCTTTCTCAGAATTTGATGGGAGTTTCGAGTATCCAAAATAACCGGTCCATGCATTAATGTCCTTACTATATCCTACCTGTTAATCGGTCTTCGGAAAATCAAACTGCTGAAACATGACATAGGAACTGTCCCAATTATTTGTTGTTAATATGAAATTCTTTTAAAATAGTAGAAAATGGTCAAATTTATATATTTAATCCTTGTAGTGACTAAAGGGCTTACGCCCCAAGTTTTTTCATCGTGTCTTATTCGGACTCATGTAGTTGCTTCATTCCTAACATAATAAGATTTGTGCAGTAAGGAAAGAAGACCCATGGCCTATGCTATTCGTTTTCTAGTATGCTTCTGTGTTAATTAAAGGTGAAGACACCACTGCTTCGGGTAATAGGTTCCAAGAATTAATGACTTGGTACGAAAACATGTTTGCCATGAGTATTTTGTTCGTTTTTGGCTTTTCTACTCGCTTGCTATGTCCTCTGAGTTAATAGGAAGAAAAAGAAAACACATCGGGTCCAAAACCGTTTCTTAGTATTTTATACACCAAAGTCACATATGAATAATAATTGTGTTAATGTCATTTTGACCATGATTCTATGAAACATAGTCTATTAGTAACCCTTATATTCGTATATTCTCCTTACATATTCATAGGTGTAAATTATTCTACAAAGCGGATAATGAGTGGAAAGAGCGTGGACTTGGAAATTTATTCATCAAACCAACGACAAACGATAAATTTCAATTACTCATCCGAGCTGATACTAATCTCGGTAAGGTGTATAGAGATTTAAAATAATGCAGATGCATTACTGTATTTCACCCTAGGATTGATAGTAGACTTTCCAATTAAATTTTATGCAATACTTCAGGTTCAATTCAATCAGTAATCTAGATTCGAAGAGTGCTCCTATTAAGACTCTTTAGTATTGTTAACTCCAAGTACTTTTACGTGTTATCATACGTTCTTGCACTGTGCTAATAATTTCGTTACTTCGACTTCATTATCGTAAACAAACCTATTCATATGCTCTTCTTTTTCCCTGTCCCATTAATTAGAGTGAAATACCAGTTTTTTAGATAAAGCTATTTGATGTTGACCCAATGTAATCAGTCAAAATATATTAAATTTGTCGGTTATGTATCAATCAAAAGCGATTAGAATAGTTAAACTGAGTATTTTTCGTTCACCCGAAATATGGTAAGAATGTATTAAAATACCATGAACGATGTTCGCAGTGAAAAATTTACTACAATATAACTTAAACCTAATTGATTTGATTCTCATAAGTTGTAATTTGAGATCGGATATTTCCAACTATTAATTAGTTTTTTTTACCCCCGAAATTCTAATTTTCTAGGCAATATATTGCTAAATATACTGGTTACAAAAGATGTGCCTATTAAACAACAGAAAAATAACTTGACTTTAGTTTGTATCCCTTCACCACCTTTACCATCCCAGGCTAAATCATCCCTTACCAACGAAGAAGATAATGGGCAACCAAAACCAGTCCCAATGTTGATACGTGTGAAAACTGAAGAGGGAGCTACAGAGTTACTAAGTCAAATGGATTTGCACAGGGGTGTCTCAACGAAGTCATAATATTGAGATGAGTTTTTCCCATCGTTTCTGTCTACCTCTTATTGACTGAACATTATGTTTCGTGTTCTGAAGATTACATTCAATTTTTTTTCGAAAAAAGATCGTTTTGAAAGTAACTTTTGTTTTTATGTGAACTACATTGTAAAAAAAATTGTTGTGGACTTTTTTGATGAAATAAGGGTTCTGATTGTTACTAGTTTTCTCTTATCCCAATACTTTTACCATACGTTACGTCCACCCGACAGCTACTCGAAAAGGTTACCTAAGTTCGGAAAATTTGTGTATAATGGGTATGTAGTAGGAAAACTTGAATTACCATAATTAACAGTAAATAACTGGAATGGTGAACGTTCTTGATCCTGTGGATACGCGTTAGTGATTAGGTGACAAACTTAATCGGGTTAGGAAACATCATCTTTGTTACACCGAACACACATTTCGTACGAATAACATTTAATTTCCCGTCCAAAACAATAGAATTAGCCCTTGGCATTGTACATGCTGAAGTGGTACTCGTCCTATCTGTTACTATTCATTTAAACACAAACATTAGTAAAACGGGCACCAATAATATATATTCACCAAGCAATAAAGATGAGGTTGTGAAGAGATTGTGAAAGGAAGGTATGGTAGAAAAAATGGATAGAAATTAGTGTGTGAGGAAATAATAATAATGAAAGAAGCAATCCAGTTAAGAAAAGTACAAACAGAAACGATTCTTTCAACTGAATTCCCCCTCATTTATATGAAGAAAACTGAAGTTACACCAGGACCGCCACCGTCTTAAATTCTGAACCACTGTGTTGCACTACCTCTAGCACCAGGGAGTTGTAAGGGACCAACAGATGCCAGTCTTATACATCTTTCCTTCATATCACGACAGTATGTCATGCACTGGTCATCTTTTCGCTTTTTCCAACCAGTCCCGGTGTCGGCAAATAATGCACGACGTGGAATCCGCCGGATCGATATTCGAAGTATATATACAAGCCACTGAGGTCAGTTTTTTTAAAAAGATAAATTGTAGTCACTCTAAGGGTTGGAGTTTCTGGCATACTTCCACTTCGTTAGCTGAATCAGACTACACTGACCGGGGAGGACAGAACAGTCTGATCGACGTCGCCGAAGTAGCAGATCATTTGGACTGCTCTCCGAAGAACAATGCCCATCGTTCAAGATTGGCGTCCCATCAACTTCACTCACCCTAGGATTCTCGCTGCCAGTGGCTCGGATGAGGTGAGGGAAATGTGGCTGCTGCTTCCAACTCACTGGCACACCCCGACCACCAGGATTTTCGGTCATTACGCAAGATCTGCACAATTTCATAGCGTAAAATCTTCGTCTATCGTCAAACTCGCCAATTCGCTTACATCAGTCCGTTTAGGATAACGAGTTAGTTGGCCACTAAGACAAAAGATAAGATTAGCGCACACAAGGGCATGATCAGATCTCCTGGAAGAAGATCAATTCCTAGAAATGCAGTCGATGAGCAAGCTATTCCTAGCAGTAGGTCTATGATGAAATTAAACAGAAATTAAGATAGTAGACGATCATCTCCAATTGTCTTCGGTGGGTAATTGCCTCATAGCTGACACGGTTGAACTCCGATGGTCACGACTACTTACTAGAACTCCGAGGATTCCCTTTGAAAGCTAGTCACTGGTAAGAACATAATAATTTTCAGTTTGGGGTTGTTGTCTGACATTGGTCGGTTTTTAACGATTTTAACGAAATCCAACAATGTACACAAACTGAGAATATTAGCAGTAAAGTTATATAAAATTAACTAATTTTTGTCTTTCCATTTCAAATTTCCGATATACTACTTGGGTTGTATCTTCTGATTATTGACACTGTGGTATTTATGATCTTGATCAAACATTCAACATCGAACAAGAAGCGGTCAATTTCTAAATGATAACGAACAGTTTTGTGTAATGGGTAAAGGATAACACAGAATTGCGAAGATATCACTTCATATACAGAAATGTCAAAAATTTCACATATTATTCACAAAATAATTACATTGAATAATACAGATCAAAGATTCTCTACAAATAAGATCGGATATGAGGGATAAATCCACTTAACACATTAGATACTTTTTATTCAATTGCTTCTCTTCTGAATTTCTATTTTGTACCTTTATGACTTTCGTCCGGGGAAATTTGTAAATCAGAATAAACAGGAAATAAAGATTTACTATGAATGTTAGACGATTCCACTTTATCAGTATGTAACAATCCTTGTCTAATCATTTCTTGACGTTCTTCATTATATTTTACCTGACAAAAACAAACAAACACATGATGTAGATTGTCATTATTATTATTCATTTAAACAATTTCTACTATATTTTTCTTCGTTATGTTGGATAAATTATTAGCGAAGTTCTAACTGTGTATCTTGATAACATAATCAATCAATCTAAGAATCATTATTGCCAGCGAAGTGAATACCTTTGAACATCAGTCACAGGATTACATAGGTATAAGTAACATTCGATCGAGTTTTAGTGGAGTGTTATATGTTTCCATAAACCTTTGACGGTATCAAATATTAAAAAAGAAATAATTATTGGTTGATATATACGCTTACCCAAGTACTTTTGTTAAGCATACTTATAGTTGTTGGTTCTCCAGCTCAGGAACTAATGGGACAGCAAGATGTAGTGCTTACTGAAATATTGCAAGCTGGTTTTCGGTTACAAAAAAAGAAAATGTCAATTCTAAGTTTAATTTGGTTACTTACTCTCTGAAGAAGTGACTTACACTAAGTCACGAAACGTCAGAAAATCTAATTTTTCTACTCATTGGGATATTAGAAATATATTACTTTTATTTATTACATTACTTGTTTATGATTCCCAAATTTTCTATAAATCAATAGAAAATCTTGGACAAACTGATGTTTTATCTCGACTAATTGTCAATCAGCAGCAAGAAAGTGAAGATACTATTATTTCAACGAGAAGAGGATGTTCACCAAATAATACAAGTTGTTATAAGAGCAACACTACTATCCGCCGAAGATATTAAATGCTGTACTCAAGAAGACAACGAGCTGAAACGGACAATTAGTTACCTCGAATATGGGTGGCCTACTAATATGGACAGCAAAAACACTGAATTTATCAGGCTAAATCTCACAATAGTAGAGGTAGTAACAGTATCAGGTGTAATAGAAAAAAATAAGCGTCAAAGATACGATCCAAAAAGAAAATATAAACTGGAGAAATAAAAACTGTTGTATCCTTATTGTATAACTGTTTAGTAATTAGATCATATGTATTTATATTTCTTTTATCATAAACTTTGAATTGACCTATTAGCTATTATTACACGGTTTACTACTCTTGAGTTATTCCCAATCTATTAGTTACAGACTCTCACAGCCACTTTTGGCTTGATCTTGTATAATTTTTATTTTATGGTGTGATGCGGTCTGGTTTGTTTGCATATAAACTACGTATATCTGAAACGTACTATTCATACAGTGGAGGCTGAGATTGCTTTCTGGACTCAATGGGCAGGGATAAACGAGAAGGACTAATAAAGATTCAGAATTAACACATGGTTGCTAGTACTGTTTTGACATGTCATTGGTTTAGCAAAAGAACATGGTTATAAAAGTCAGTATTCGTATTGGCGACTTTGTCACATGATGATTAACAAGGAGAAAGTCATAAGAAACTTATGAGGAATCTAGAATCTTAGGATTTTGGAGTGGACACAGAAAAGATGCACCTGTGCCATTCCAAACGATTTTGAGCCATGTCATTCAAAGTTTAACCATTGGCTACGATAATCACGCGAACCACAACCAGGTAATGTATACTTATTAACATGACTAAGTCTAATTTTCAGTAACTTCATGTACTGATGCCATGTTTTGGCTTGGTCGCCCCTAGCTTTCTAGCTAGCAACTGCTGTACCAGAAAACACCACCCGTCGAGGTAGACGACGGTGACCTACAAATATCCTCTACTCTTAATGGCTACGTTTCACATCCACAAGCTATAACGGAGCAAACTGCTATGCAGTAAACCCGCCCTTTGGTTGGAAGACGGATATTTCACCTACACCTTTTGAATCTGTGCCGAGATTTCGTCAGACATCAGTACTGATGAGACTTCCAAGAAAAGTGGGGCAGTCGATACGTTCAACTATTTCACTACCTATCAATTATTCGGGTGATGATGCAAGCCTGAAGTAACATTTTACATTTGCAGGGCGAACAGGATCACTAACATCCTGGAATTGTTGCTTAAGGTGGTCAGAAGACTGCATTTTTTCAGTGTCTTCTGCGAACAGAACTATATCATCTCCGTATTCTAATTCAACAAGCGAAATTCCTGGTAAAAGATCAACTCCTGAAAAGTCAGACGATGAGAGTGTTCTCTCTAAAAGCATGTCTATGTCAAAGTTAAATTAAAATGGGGAAAGCGGACAACCCAGACGAACACCATTTGAAGCAATTAGTTCCGATGACAGTACGATTGATGTACTTCTTCGGTACGCCTTTCAATGACAAACACTACCATAGAACCTCACGATCAGCAGTCGAACGCCACCTTACGGTTAAGAAATAAAACTATAGTAGGACGTCAGAAAGTATGTTTGTGTTAGATAATCTCCTGAGGGGTGGATATTTGATCTATACATCCACGTCCAGGTCTGATGCAAATATTGGTCCGACGGGAACACCTTACTACTGTCACACCCCTCTACAGTCAGTAGTGTGACATCGCTGTCTTACCATTTTCTAACTGACCTGTCTGGCATGGCAGGTCTCAAATAAGGATGAGTTTCAGTCAATATAGCTAGGTTGAGTCATCACGAGAGGCGAGCCCAACCACCACGTCAAGGTATCAGCTACGGTTGGGATTTGTTGAAAGGCATCCACGAGCTGGGATATCACTGATTTCCTTTCCTAAAGTTGAACTGATGTTGGGATGGATGTCGTTAGAAGTTTCAAGTAGGTTATTTGCATACTAATTTAGAGGATTACGTAAGATGGAGTTATCATATGCATCATACATAAAGCGGCCACAGATGCTAACGTTTTCATCTCAAGTATGCAACACATATACCCGAAATAACAGATTCCGATTAGTCATATCAATTTCACTTTGAAATAGAATTAAAGGTTCTTAATTTCTAACCTTATGAGCTGTTTTAATTTGATATGGAGATGTAGTCTGTGTAGGAACTATTGATTTCGACTGCAATCTTAAGCTCGTAGAATACATTTAACTGACTTACTTTTTAATGCGAATTCAGAAGCATCAGATACCTTTTGCTAGGTGGTGCCAACTTTGCTAAACGAGTACGTATATCCCTAAGAAATTAATCGCATAATCCTGATTTCAAGTGGAACCTCGATTGCCTGTATAGAGTTGAACGTGCTATGCTAGAAGAGATTATGGGTTCACCTAATCTTCGAACGGAACGAAGACTCAGTGACACAATGACCAGATAAGCTAACTATTCCGATGCGTCCCAGCCCAGTAAGAGAAGTCCAGGTTCAGAAGAGGGAAATGTATTCCACGAGCAGCCAGAAGCACGAACAACAATCACAATCCAAGCGCACACAAACAGCATAAAATGTCCTTGGGAAACGCTACAAAATAGCACATTATGAGGGACAACGAATCAACAGCATTTAAGGTCCTCTCAAGTGGGAAATACGACGTGAAGGTGAAAATGGGCGCTTTTGGCACAAAAACAAGAAATTCAAATTTCCAAAATAAAACTGCAAAAATAAGACATTTGCTGAGTGAATTCTGGAGATCTAACATCCTCAACAGAAAGTTGTGAGTCATACAACACTCCACTAATAATCATTCTTTTCAACAGCCCTGCTGTAGATGAAGTACTGAAAAATTTGAGCCACCTAACTGACCAAATATTCGCAACAAAATTTCCTGCTGTATATTTATTTGGACAAATTAGTTATGAAAGTCAACAATATTATGTTTTTTAAGTCAGTACAATCCTTATACTGCCAACAGTAACTTAGTGAACTAATTCTATGTCTTAATTTGAAAGACACCAGGTTTCTTCGAACCTACTCCAATACCTGCGAATATTTAGCACGGATTTTGTTAAGGTTCATCATATGTGTGTATCTACATCCTAGATAAGATTTATTCGGAATTTTAGATGCAAATACATATGGGATGTAGCCCAACAGTATCATTTTTGAAGAGGTTGGATTATGATTTACTCCATGTCCGTTATATCGTCCAGTCAAATAGACAGCCAAACAGGAATAATAGTGATTTTCTAGTCCTAAATGTAAGAAACTTTATGAAAAAGGAAATTACTGTGAGATTATTTGTAGCCGAAAACAAAAACAGCATGTAATATACCTCCAATTCTGCTGCACGACTAAGACGGTTGTTCATAGATACAGCATTAGCTTCTATCTCTTCTTCTGTAGGTGGATTAGAACGTCGATGACTCAACCATGAATGCCATTCAGGAGGTACAGACGATAATTCTCAATTATTTTGTGGAAAATACGAAAAGTAATTAGCAGTAAAATCGAAACCACAAAAAAAAGACTTAGAAAATATCCTATTCCTTCAACGTAAAGGAATCCCGTGAAATATATAGAAATAGGGTTATACAATGGTAAGGAATCCGCTACTATATATGTTATATACGAACGAGGAGTAAATGAATGGTAACTGCTAGGAATTAATTATGGAATATTATTACATATGTTCTTATTCGATAATTATTCAGTAACTAGATTATAGATATATTCAAATTTCTTTTACCATAAGCTTTCTATATGACGACCTATTGGCTACTACAACATGATTTACCATCCTTAACGTACTCCCAATTTATCAGCTACAGCCTCCCATACTCACAGTCACTTTTGACTTGATATTGCTTTATTATTATTTCTCATTTAACGGTGTGTGTTCTAATCTGCTTGTATACACACCATGTCTGAACTATACGATTCATGCAGTGGAGACTGAGATTGTGTTCTAGACTGAATTGGCAGGGTTATACAAAAATTTAGTATACATAATCCCAATAATGACTCAGAGTTGACACAAGGTTGCTCGTGCTGGTTAACACAACATTGGTTTAGTGCAGGGACAAGGTCATAGAAGTCAATATTGATTTATAACTCGGAGATCTTTGACCAGAATTCGTATGAATACTTTACGACACTGATTAGGTTGTGTTGAAGTGCTTTCAGTATGTTGCTTAGATATTTAGATAAAGCATATGTGGAAGTATTTGTGAAGTTCACTATGGGGTCTTAAAGGAATATGAATTTTTGGTTATCAATAAAGGGGTGATGCGATGTTGGATTGAGGGTATAAAGTAAGCCATATGGAAACGCCAATAAATGGCTTTAGTTCTTTAAGAAATTCACATGTCTCAGACTTAACTTTACTTTTAACCACTTGAAATTTTTTTGAGTCGATCTTTGAGTATGGTCCCGTCGATGGATAATTAAGAGCTTTTTCTTCATAGTCATTTGTGTTCCCAACCACCATTGTATTCCCTTTGTCAGCTTTGATAATCACAATTGTTCTGTCTTTCTATAATGAGCGCAAAGCTTTCCATTGTTCTTTGGAAACATTAGGTGGAAGGGATATTTGTTTTGTCAATATGTGAGATGTTTTTTTTTAAATGTAATGTATGAGACCCAAACGACTACATTTGACCTTATTTATTCTCCACACACACCTAATTTCAATCTCACTACTTGATATTACAAATGTATACATTTTTCACATTCACACTCTGACACATAAATTAATACAGTGATAAAGCATACAAATTCACCTTGAGCAAGAATAACCTGATATTGAAAATTCAGATTCATTATGATTTTAACTGTACCATAATATTCTGCATTGTTTCCTTTGTACTATTATAATTTAATTCGATTATTCGTTTACTCTGAAGAAGTGGCTTACATTAAGTCACAAAATGTCAGAAATACAACTTTTCTACTCATTGGGATATAACAAAAATATATTTATTATCAACTTTCTACCCAATGCTCAATCTATTTGGAACTATCAAGTCCAACCCGTGGTGAACTTAGTTTTAGGCTTGTGACGCTTATCTATGATGCTCTTCAAGGACTGGAACTTGTCGAACTAAGAGAAAATTTGGAGTATGATTTTTATGAAAGATGCATATAAGTATTGATTGATACCAGAATATAACCACTAGGGCAACCAAATTTTTAGTATATGTACCGTCGAAGCGAGTAGAGCTAGGATGCAGTTAGACTATCTAGACTTCACAGATGATGCAGAAGACAACCAGTGTAGCAGCAGCAGTAGGTCTCAACATACACAGATGAGAAAGCAAGATTCTCCGATACAAGACAACATGAACCAGTCAATTCACACATGACAGACAAGCTTTGGAAGATGTAAAAACCTTTACATATTTGGGCAGCATCATTGATGAGCACGGTGAATCTGATGCAGATGTGAAGGCGCGGATCGGCAAAGCAACAGCAGCATATTTACAACTGAAGAACATCTGAAACTCAAAACAACTGTCAACCAACACCAAGGTCAGAATTTTCAATACAAATATCAAGACAGTTCTACTGTATGAGGCGGAAACCTGGAGAACTACGAAAACCATCATCCACAAGATTCAAGTGTTCATTAACAGCTGTCTACGCAAAACACTTCAGATCCGTTGGCCGGACACTATCAGCAACAACCTACTGTGGGAGAGAACAAAGCAGATCCCAGCGGAGGAAGAAATCAGGAAGAAGCGCTGGAAGTGGATAAGGCACACGTTGAAGAAAACACCAAACTGCATCACAAGGCAAGCCCTCAAGGTCAAAGAACACATTACGCCGAGAAATAGAGAGAGAGAGACATGAGAAGAATGAACAACAATTGGATAGAACTAGAAAGGAAGGCTCAGGGACAGGGTGGGTTGGAGAATGCTGGTCGGCGGACTATGCTCCATTGGGAGTAACAGGCGGAAGTAAGTAAAGCAAGTGGATTAATGCTACATTAAATGGTATATGATGCCGGTGATCTATAAAGCTAAAAAAGACGAGTACTAAACTTTGATTTGTTAATTCATGCAAACTATTAGCAACATTCTAATATACAAAAGTAAAAATATGGCTCACGATTGATTTCGGTTCATAAACTGACCTACATCCATATTCCCATGTGAACATTCTAATCCATTTTGTCCAGGCATAAGAAAAAACCTCTTTGGTAATTTTGATAAATGAGTATGTTCACTTGCTTTATTTGGTGGTGCTTCAAAATATCGATTACCTGATTTATCTACGCCAACCAGACGTGGTCGTTCGCGATAAAACATTGCTCGAAATGAGAGAAATATTTGTTTGAGTATAGACCGATTCACGTTCGATGTTGTCATGAGTGTGCTGAAACAAATTAAATGGAAAATGTACACAAAGTAATATCGAATTAGACTTTGGACACTAGTAAAGTTGTTGTAGCATGATAACTTGAACACGAGTTATTGTTTATAATTTATCATAAAGGAATACAATATTTGTTATGAGTACATATTTAGTTGTTAAAAAGATAAAAACAGAAGTTTGATTATGTAAAATAATGTACAATGTGGTCGACGGACAATTGCTCATAAGAGTGAACACTCAGTGTAAACTACAAATGAACAGATCATAAATAATCAGGAAAAAACGTCCCATTCTTCAGGCAAAATGATACTTATATACACACAAGAACGAATATTATTAAGTTTCATGTCAAGTAATTGTATGATATAAATTTCCGAAACACTCACGCGTGAGGGGGATCAAGAATGATTTCAATTCTTCATTGAATGTGCAAGATATACTTCGGCAATTACTATTGTGAATTAAGTTGAATTACCTTACGTTTTCCAACTTACAGTTGGCCAAATTAATAGTCACTTAAAAGTTCCAAACACAATCAACACATTCTGTCATTTTATTACCTTTAAAATGCATCTAATAGAATGCAGAGAACTACTAAAATATATAGACCTTTAACAGAAATTGGATAAAATTACCGTATACTAAGAACGACACTGATTAGATGAATCTAAAATTGGGTACTAACAGATACTGATCAAAAATCAAGCTTATCGTTGTGAAAATACAATGGCCCATGTAATTAAAAACCTGTAAGGATTGATGGAATATGAATATATTCAGATAGCTTATTTGTTGTAATTATCCGATGGGACAGATAAGCAATAGAATTATAGTGAAGAACGCAGATGAGAACAACGGATTATATTTAGCACGAAATTACTGTTACTTGATCAAATAGAAAGACCATACTTCATTTGCAAAATGTTCATTAATTGTCTTTGACTTCATTGTTTCTATATTTCTATATCAATTGCTTTCTGTTTCCTCTCTTCCCTCCTCGATCTTCTCAACCTTCTGCGGACAGACATTCTATTCCTGACTAGCGTTTTATACTACTTATATCGACGTAAGTAGAACAAACCAAAGAATCACGTTTAATTAAAACAAAACCAAGACCAAAACATTCTCGAAAAAGGGATTAGGGAGTTCGATAAATAAATATTTTCATGTAGATTACAATGTCGATAATCCAGCATAGAACATATTCCTTTTCAATTTATTAAAAAACATTTAAACATGTAATGCAATTAGTTCTGAAATAGGAACCACGTAAACTTACCATTTTGTATGATAAAAGATAAATCTGGGTGTAGAACGTATGTAAAGGCCTAGAGCTGGTGCACTTATTTTCCATAAATTCTTTACGGGAGTAAATTGTGCCTAAACAAAATATAACAAGAAGTTATACAAAGTAATTTAAAAATGAGCCTTGATAGTGGCTAAATAAAAATGGAAATCCAATAGTGAGTCTAGTTGCCATTTTCTATAAACAGGAATGAAAGTACAGTTATTGAATTTAGAATAGAAATGTACATATCGTCTAGATGCACTCAACCTGCCCATTGTATTCCGTGCTTTCCCTCAGATTTGGAGGTCTTCAGAATCCAGTGAACAACCAGAAGAAAGAAAAAGGGTGAGAGTAGGCATCCATGTCCGATCCCGGTCCTCATTTGGAATGCGTCTGCCAGCTGTCCTCCATGCACAACTTTACAGTGCAGTCCGTTGTATGAATCCCGGATAATGTTGACGATCTTCTCAGGTACAACAGTTTTGAGTAAGGTTTTCCTACCCACACTGTCAAACGCTTTCTCATAGTCAAGGAAATTGATGTCGTGACGAATCCCATTCAATCGATTGCTCAACAATGATCAGTGGTTTCGCAATTTGGTCTGTGTTCGACCTGTCCTTACGGAATCCAGTCTGTTGATCTCAAAGTTGGGTGTGTGCCGAATTCTTCATCCATTTCAGAAATACTCTTGAAAACGTTTCCTGGTATCTATAGTAGTGTGGTTTCACTGTAGTTCGAACATTTTCTCAGATCTCCTTTCTTTGCTATCTTGATATCGTTCTTTCCAGTTTGTCACTGACACTTGTTCTTCCTCCAAAAAGAATGCGGAGCACCTTTGCAGTTACTTTTATGTCTGACTTCAGCTGGTATATTGTCAGAATGTACTGTTTCCCCAGTCTTGAATTGTTTGATGACCAACCTTATCTCTTCGACCGTTGGTGAATTGACATCTTTAGGAACGTCTGTGTATTCAGCTTCGATATCCGGTGTAACTGGTCTATTTAAAAGTTCCTCGAAGTGTTCCACCATCTGCTCCTGCCCTTGAATATCAGTGATTGGCCTACCTTCTTTGTCCTTGACCGGTCTCTCTGGTTTACAATATTTCCCTCCCAGTTCCTTCGTTGCACCATATAGTCGTCTCATATTTCATTCTCTGGCAACTTTCTCCGCCGTCATTACTAGGTCTTCCACATATTTCTGCTTGTCGGCTCGAATGCTCCTCTTCATTCTCTTGTTTGTTTCTGCATATTCGGCCTGTCCATTGGCTTTTTCTGCTCTCGTCCGACTGTTGTTGATTGCTATTTCCTCTTCATGAATTCTCCACAGAGTTTCCATAGAAATTCACTCTATATTCTTATGCTTCTTGTGGCCCATTACCTCCTGACACGTTGAAGTTAGTGCTTCTTTTATCCTTTCCCTGTTGTCCTCCATAGTAGTTTATTCTTCTTTCTGTAGATCTTGTAAGGCTTGGAACCTATCACTGAGAGCTAACTTGAATTCGTGGAGTTTGTCAGTATATCGTAGGAAGGCTGTATTGCTGTTTGTTCAGTGATTCTTAAGCTCCAGTTTCATCTTGGCAACCACTAGGTGGTCATCTGAAGCTGTCAGTTCCTCTCTCGTTTGTCACACATTCCACTGACCTTCTGAATTTACTAGTAATACAAATATGATCAATCTGGTTCTCCGTGATTTGGTCGGATGAGACCCATGTAGCCATGTGAATGTGTGGGAATATAGTCCCACCTACAACCATTTCGATCAATGTACATAAATTTGCAAATCACGTTCCTTTCTCCAGTCAGTCTATTTCGTCCCATCATATCTTCACATCCGGTGTTGTTCATTTCGACTTTGATATTTAGGTATCCTATGAGGATGGTCAAGTCCTCTCCTGTACATTCGTTTATGATAGACTGCAGCCCCTGGTAAAACTGATCTTTATCATTTTCACTGCTATTATCAGTGGGTGTATAGCATTAGATAACATGCATTGTGAATCCCTACTTCCTTGTTTTACAGGATACTTTGGTGATCCCGAATCCATGAGTGCTTCTTTGGACAATATCAGTGCAACTCCATGTGTGTGGAGCATTTTCTTCTTCGTGATCAGTGTACTGCAGTACCTCTCCTGAATCGATTCCTCTCTGTCCAGCTTCGGTTCAATGTGTTTCGCTGATTTCGAGCACTGTTAAGTTTTATCTCCTCGATTAACAGAACTTTAAAACAAGTTTTGGCAGTGGGTCTAGTTCTTTATTTCACTAGTTTTGTAAAATACCTGTTTATACGCATAATACTACAAATGAACCACCCTAGTTACGAGTTTGACTATTAGAAATTATGTATTTCTCTATGCTGAGTAGCTCAATTGTAAAGCATTTATTGATCTTCTGGACATGAGTACATAATTTAAGATAGAATCAAGATATTCAGAATTCTGAGGGCGTAGACAGGACAATGGTCAGATATAACCAATTGAGATAAAGGTCGACAATGATGAGTAAAAATTCGAAAAGCTCACTTCAATTGTAAGTTTGTTCGGATGTTATCCAGAAGGACGATCAAGCTTGACAACAAAAATTCATCTACATCAGGATGAAAAACGCACCGACAAACTTGTCACATTGAAGTTCTGTTTAAAGTTTTTACTCATTGGTAAACAGACAAAAAAAGAACTCGCCAGAAGTTTGTAAAGTTATCTACTACTTATTTCAGTGAATAAAGGAAAACTACTGTAGACTCAGAGTTTATTTTCTTACTAATTCCGGTACATATATAGAAACGACAGTATATTTATCGTCAAGACAATACTTTACTAATTAGTTTTGTTCAAAACAAACTACATATCTTCGATAATTTCCTAATTATCAATAGAAATGTAACTGATGTAATTTTCTTTTTCTAACCATTGTATATTCAACATGAATAGTGAATGAAACATTTACATTGAATTCCATTTATGAATACTAAGTTAAATCAACTTTCATTTTCTAGAGTCGACGATAGGATGTGAATAATTTTCTTGAATGTTTAGTCATGATGCTTTGGTATTTCAGGAGACGATTATTACCTTTTTTAAGAACATAGATTTCTTGATTCATAAAATACATCATACTAATTCCTTATTGATAAAATATAAAAAAATTTAGATATAGACAATAAGATCAGATTTATTGTACATGATTTCCCTTTTTAGAGGCATCATCAAATTAAACAATCAATATATTAACCGTTACTACTATACGAATATGTTTAAAAGGCAAAAAATGTAACAAATTTCCATCATTTATTTTTAAAATAAAAAGAAACAAAAGACCGCATTTAGAGCGGAGAAAATGCAACTTCGATAAAAAGTTCTTAATGTGTACATATGTAGAATATATCAGAGTTGAGAGAAGAAATTAATAATAACACACGAATAGTTTAGAAATAATGAAAACTCATAACAAAACTAGTAAGATATCCGGGAGAGAATCGATTCTTGTGGGATTTCTTTGACTGGAAATGAAACCATAAATTAATCGGATGAAACCCTGGATGTTGGTAATGTAGGTGGAATATTAAATGGAACCATTGTAGTGTGTATGTTAATGACGCCCACCGGATGAATGATCCTAGAGAACAGTAAAGACATTTTAAAAAAATGCTGAAACTATTACCATAATCATGATGACAGTTCTAAATAATTTATGTTTAGCTTACTTACTAAGTAAAAAGTAAATACTATAGCATCAGTGTTAAGTGTTATTAAAAGCATGACATTGCCACAAAAGATCGAATATTATCTAACACTTTCTTGATTTTAAAAGGTGAACAAAAGGGCCAAATATTATTAAAGATTTATGGTGAAATGTAATAATTTAAAGTTCGTTGATGTTAAAATCTGATGATTGATGGAAGGGATAGTTTACCATGTAACTTAAGTTATGGTCAACTGACTAACTCAGTACGAGGAAAGATGTTTGTTCAGTCAGTTAGTAACAACGTAGAACTTCGCACGTACGTACATCAGTTCAAGTTGCCACACCACATTAGCACAGAGATTAAGTGGTCGATTCAAATTCCGTAGTGGTAGAGGCAATAAGAGTATAAGCAGTAATCGGAAAGACTAGTGTTTGGAGATGTTACTTAAAGAGCAAGGTCTTATAATCACTAACAATCAGTTAGTAGTTAAAATAATATGTTCTATGTAAATGCTTTGGTTCTTTTTAGATTCTCAACGATTCTCAACATCTTTACATGAAACAACTGTTTGGTGGCTAAAGAGCTGATTTTATTTTTTGATTCAACATATAACCAAGTCGTTTAAAACTGAAAATTTACACGCAGATACTGGTCACAAAATGAGTGTTAGGAAAAAGAGAAAATGGTTACTCTGTAGGTATAACATTTATGAATATGTGGTAAGTATATCACATACCTGATTACTCTTTGAATTCGATTTGACATTATTCACAGCATTAGTACTTCGCCTAGTTCGTTGGCAGGAGGTGAGGCAGCTGATACATTGATATCGTTTTCTTTTGATGATCTGACTGAGCTTCTATTAGTTGCATTCTGGTTTGAGAAAGGTCTGTTTCTAACTTATTTACTTGAGCAGTGAGTTCTTGGACCTTGATAAAATAAAAAAGTGACAATGATCACAACTTTTTCAAGCAACCATGATGTAAGCATGTCATGACGTGATAGCATACAAGCGTCCCAACATTATACCTAAAAATTTAAGCACTAGGATTTGTTCCTTATATACTTCATATCATTTGTGACCACTTTTACGACACTGAATAGATCTTGTCTGGTAGTGAAATGAGGCGAATAGTGAGAATTTTGCAATTGCGTGATTGAAGAAAGCGTTAGATAGCGTGTTAGGAGATCAGAGAAGTGATAAAAATAAGTACAACGAACATTTATTAACAGGTTTCCGTGTCTTGAACAAGTTTTAAGAACGTTGATCAAGTGGATTAAGAAGACCGAACTATATGTCAACCCTACGAGTTGAAAAAGTAGTAAAATAACCTGCAACTGTAACTTATCATTTCATAACCATAAAATAACTTACACGAGAGGTTGAATTGTATGCTGTCTCTTTTTCTCGGGCAACTTCTTCGGACAACTTTTGTACAGACTGTTGGGCATTAGCAAGTTCGGACTCCAACTTGATTAGCATAGCAAACAAAAATAAATATATTGTAATACCTATTGTATTAAATATTCTAAAAAATCAGTAAAAGGAATAAATGTATCGTATATCGGCCGAATGATTTGTGGATACAGCCAATACATTGTCATATATCTCGTTGCTAAAGTCGATTTCGAACAATCACTTTTCCTATGGTAATTAATCGGTTAACAATGACAAAATAAATCCATAATTACCATGCCGATTTTAACTATTCTTTGATTGACTACCTTTTATTATAAATTGTTATTGTATTGTATGTCGAAATTATCTTTTTTAGCATGTAAAAAAACCCAGTTGTGTAACACTTTTAACTGATGAGATTAGTAAAAGTTTCATGACAAGGACAATACCCTTTTCCCACTTATTGAAACACTGAGGGTAATTACGTTCGAGGTCTTGAGATGATGTACGAGTCATTGTATGTGTGTATTAAAGGGAAATTTTGTCACAGTCTTTAACCATTCAGAAAATACTTGACCTGATATACGTGACAAATTTCAGATAAGTATAAATGAATTAAAAGTTTATCCGTATCGAGTTAGTAAGTTTATGTAGTAAAGCCAAAGCTATTCACAAGATTTAATAAGAATTGGGAATAAATAGATATATTGATGCAGTAAATTCTGCTATTCAACTAACCTGAGATTTTACATTCTCATTTGCCTGTTGGGTTTGAACTGCTTCAGCCATTAAGGTTTTACAACGATCCTCCATTGAAGACAGTTTAGCTTTAAGCTGTAAAAAGAAATAAAACTAATGATGAAGTGCTAATAAACAACAGATAACAAGTTGAATTGAAAGTGGAGATAAGAACGATTACATTTTAGTCAGAAAGTCAGCTCAAAATGTTCACAAATGTTAATAAGTTGGAGTTAAAAGCTGAAATCTGACAATCAATTTTTTCAAATATATGAGGAATACATTTCGTTAGGAATAAAACAGATAGATACTTGGGTGATGAATTACATTTCTCAGTAAAGTTGGTTGCATATAGATAATTGACTGATTGATCAAACACTAAATATGACTTTGTTTAGTTGTAATAATTAGCAAATAAAAGTTAATTCGCAATAATAATAGTAGTAGAAATCAGCATTTATCTCGTTACAACCTTGACAAATCAATCTTGTTTTTAAGTTATAACAATTTTTATTTGATAATTTTTAGTTCCCTAATAAATCAAAATAGCTTTGAAGTTTAAAGGAAGTTTTATTTGTGAGCTGTGCGGTTTAGTTGTAAAGTTTTTATTGTTATTTTAAACAATATCATGAGCACAAACTGACAGTTTGTCCTGTCTATATGAACACTAACTAGCTGTCAAACCCCATTATGTATATTCCCTTATATCAATGCATGTGGACACAATTAGGAAAATGATAACATTGTGCATAAAATGAATACAAAGATCACGGAATCTTTAAAAGCTTGAAACTCAGGTCAATTATAAATTCATAAATACATCAGAATCAATTAAATTTAGCAACTAATTAGAAATAGCATGGACAAATATAAGATCAAGAATCAAATCAAAATAGATAAACAGACAAGGATCGGTTAAATGTCAAAAATAACCAATCAATATCAATCTCAAAAGGACAAGTCATTATATGTAGAAAAATTCGAATCCTTCACTTCTACCTGAAGTTTAAGCTGATGTTGTTCAGAAGATCAAAGACAGCCTCATGATTAAACAATCTAGCTGAACGAACAAAACTCTAGAGAACAAAATTTCGAAGTTCATTAAACACACTGATCATATAAAACAATATCTTATAAAATCTTCTGATAAATAAAAGGTTTATTATTGCCAAACAGTATGATTAATTCGACTTTATGAAAATAATGGACTACAATGAAAAATTTATTTAAAAAAAATAAAGAATATTTGAGCGAACAATTGTTTTCAATAATTTCATCGTCAGGCTCCACAGTTTATAAGTTCATAATTATTGGTGGTATTTTACAAAGGCCAATATAAGGCATATATTAATGAATATGACTGCTACATGTCAAAAAATGGTGAACATTTGCATATGTTACAACACATATACTCTAAAATTCTTGATTTTTGTAAAATATCATAATTATGGACTTATAACTAAAAACCCTGATGATGAAGTTATTGAAAACAATTGTTCGTTCGAACATTCTATGAAGATTTTTATCAGTAAATCAATGTAACGCCAAATATCAGTATAGTATACCTGAGAAATTATATCCAGTTCATTAGACTGTTGATTGTCTTCAGTAAACAGACGCTCCTGACAACGTGAGCACACACCTTCATCTCCGTTAACGCTCACATGTGGCTCTTGGTGAGCTAGTTTAATTAAATAGAAAAATATTATAAACTTGATTAAGTGGGCTATGAGGAGGAAAACAACCGTTTATAAACTAAAATGGAATTCTGATTGTATGATGATGTTATATTGTGAATAGGTCAAAAAATATTTTTAATATAAAAGCTCATAGGATTAAGACATGTCGTTTATGATGTTCCTGAATGGTTGAAGCTAAAAACAATGTTTGAAGAATTGATTATAACAGTGGGAGATTTAGAGGATAACTTACAAGAAGTTGTATATTTTTCAATATATCTGTCGGTTATCATGGATCAACAATAAAAACTGAAGTAAAACGTTTAAATTTCATGACTCATCTACTTATATTTGTTGGGTTTTAGATTTAATCACATTATTAGTTTTCCATCATAAGTATGTAATAGTGCAATAACTAATGAAGACGAGGAAGTTCTGGATATATGTGTGAGTTTTTCCTAACAGTTAACACTAAACACACATTAATTATTCAATAACAATCGAAACAAGCATTTTATTATTGTCGAGTATTTGGAGTTCTTTATTCCGATAGAAACACACTTTTTACTTATTAGCTACATCATGAAAATCGTTATTTTTTGCTGGTGAGATGATAGCGATAAACTTTCTTCATGAAGCTTGAGAATAATTGAAAGAACATATTTGTGGATTAAATGTTTATCATAATAGAGATAATTAATCATACATTAAAAATACCTTGAATAGGATGACTATTTAGAATACTTTCACAACGTTTGCCTAGTTCGACAATCATTTTGTCTTTCGCAATTACTTTATTTCTCAAATCGTTTAACTGTGAAGAAAGAAATTTATTGGTAGTTTGCAAACTTGTTAGGTCTGAATGCCAACGTTCAACTTCCGCACCACCGCGCACAGCTCTGCATCGGACTGATTCCAGCTCTTTTATAGTATTTTCCAGCTGGCCACGAGTATTTGCAAGCTGAGTTGTGAGCTCGGAACAAAGGCGTTCTTTTGTTTTAAACTAAGACAGGAAATAAGTTAAGAGACTATATTGACAATAATTGAACAATATTATTACTCGATTATTTGTATGACATGCTCATCAAATAATAATTTCTATAATCCGTTTTAAGACACGAACGGGATACCACTTGGTCGTCCACACTTGGAAGCAGGGAGATGCAACGTATGAAGCTGCTACCCAATGGTTGAAAATGGAAGAGTTTATAACCACTGAGCTATTGTATTAAATAACAAGACACTAGATCCGCCGGCCGGATACCATGAGCAACAACCTACTGTGGGAGAGGACAAACCAGCTCCCATCTGTAGAGGAAATTAGTAAAAGACGCTGGAGGTTGATAAGACACATTGCGGAAATCATCGAACTGCATCACGAGGCAAGTCATAACTTGGAATCCCGAAGGCAAAAGGAAAAGAGGAAGACCAAAGAACATATGGCGCAGAGAATTGGATGTATAGCAATTGAAAACTGAAAAAGAGAGCCCTGGTCGGCGGCCTATGACCTTACAGGCGTAAGTAAAATTTCAATTCGCAGAACTTCTATAGTACTCGTAGGTACTTGGGTATGAGTCACATTCCAAGTGTTGGGGCTAATGATATTACCCGGTTGCCTAAACCGAAGGTAGACTGGGATTCGAACCTGGGACTTGGTGACTGAGAGTCGGACGCACTGAACATTAGGTCGCCGGTTCATGATAAATGGATAATGCATAACTAGAAGTGATTATTGAAATTACAAGTTAGAATTTACCGGTTAGATGTATGACTAACGAATAAGAAAGTCCCAGTAAACTAAACGAAATTATATGATTGAAGGGCGTTATCTCAATAGTAAATCTGGTCAAAACAGCCTTACTAAACATCACTCGATAAACACATCAGAAATCAGCAAATACTCAGACAAAAATATTTACCTCGGCAGACATTTTATCAACCTGTGCAGATTTAGCATCAAATCGTGATCGCAGGTCGAAAAGCTCCGATCGCTTAGCTTCATTGTCCATTCGAAGTTGATTAACAGCGCCTTGTAGCTCAATGATTTTATTTCTATCAGAAGGATCACTTTGAGGAATTATCTTTGGAAAGACAAATGGTGAGTAAAATTAAAGTTTGCTTCAAACTACAATATACTAAGTTATTTTTTATTTTTGATATTACATGAAAGTAAGTTGCAAGTATGTTTGTAATCGTAATATATCAGAAGTATCATGAAGGACTAAAGAATGTTACCTTTACAAACTTATAAATGTGCACTAGATCTACTCAATGGAACCCCACTCAGTCGGGATCAGAACTTATCGTACTTAAATGTGACATGTTAAAACGACAGCTGAATATGGTAGTTGAATTATCTTAAATTTTAACAACTCGATCATCCTTAAGCTAATCACGAACTTACATCGTAAAACAAAAACGTAATTTGAGTAAGACAATTAATGGGAATAAGCATCGATTACAATATTTTGGTTTCACTAAAGACACACTGTCCTATGGGATCACCTGATGTGAAAACTGGTCAGTTATTTAGATTTATTGACAGGCGACAATACACTTACTGGTTTAGGAGGAGTAGCTATCGCTGCTTCTTCTAGTCTCTTGATTCTTTGTTTCAACTCCTGGTTTTCTTTTTCCATGTTCTCTAAGTCGGTTTCAGTTCGCTTGCGTCGTTGATATTCTCTATCTCGTTTACTTCGTAAACGTTCAATTTCAGTTTCTAATTCAATAGGACCTACTCCTCGACGAGCTAAGTCTTCACGAGCCGTTGCCAACTCGCGTTTCAGTATACTGATTTGAGCTGTAAGACTTGAACGTTCAACATCGGCGGCTTCGAGTTTTGAAGCCTTTTCGATATTTCCTAGAAAAAGTAATTTTTAAATCACATAAATTAACGGTAAATTTCATGCGGAAACTGTGATAATTAAATATTATTGATTACCGAATAAACGATAAGTATTCTAAATAAGCAACAACAAAATGATGTTGAAAATGAAGCGCACTGACCTCATGAATACGGAGAATCACGTCTTCCCGATAAGTCAGAAGTTGATTAAGCTCGTTGACTTGGCTTTCTAGTTCCATGACCTTTGCACGCAGAGTAGCAGGATCAGTCTTTGAAAGTCGTTCTAGATCGTTTTCCAGCTTTTTGTCATCAGCGATCCATGGAGGTAAAGTGGGTCCAATCAGACGACCGCCAAGCTATGATGAAAAAGAAAGCCAGCATCTTTTCAACCAAAGTATGAGTATAATTGAACTAACCTACAAATTACATCTGATTGGGCAGAACTTAGGACTAAAATCTTCTATTTCATGATCAAAAGATAAACTGAAACATTTCGGATACAAATAAAAAGATTACATTTGACACGCATTTTTAAATCAAAACAGGTAGTGTATGTCTGGTACAAACGTATGATGACACACTCTTCATCAAAATGACCGAGAGAAATTAGCGATAAAAAGCATAAAAATTCCTACAATTATAACTATGCCACCATGAACGAGTCGGATTAATTCCAATTCTTAATCTGTTACGGAAGATCTGGGTGCATTAACTAGCAGACTTCTTTTTAATAATATGTAGCTGTAGAACATGAAGGTATGCGTAGGCTGGAAGAATTTGACCATAGATATCTTCGAAGTGTTATCACCGCGTGGTTAGAAAAGTTGGGTGAGAGATGGTAAGATTGGAGTTGGCATACTAGTTGATGCCATAAAACGTCGACTGTGTAGATTAAGACATTTTATACGCATTTCTAACCACACCCTACTCCGACCTGAAACGTTTCCTGACAGGTTTAAAAAACACTAGAGACGGAGCAAACAAAACAGGGTACCAACATAAAAAGTTATTATCTTATGGTTTAAGCCATACCACAAAGAGTAGACTTAGGTTGAGGTTCACCTAATACTCGTAATTAAGGGCTGGTATTCGGGTGAAACGGAGCGAAATTGATTATAGTGACAGACTACCATCCCGTCATTTTTTAAATCTTGAGTTGTCATTTTTAATTTACCATTCCTTTTCAACTATATTATTCATGTTCAGACTCCGATTGGTTTTGACATTACCTTATATTCAATCCTTCCTATTATGCTGATTCATTTTTGCTTTGTTGATCTTAGATGTAACATGTGCCGCTGCACATTTACTCAAGGCCCTACGTTAGAGATGATTGACTGGAAATTATTTTCGGAATCTCAACCTGCGATTGTTGATGGTTTAAATAAGTGATGGATTATTTCAGAAACGAATGCAACAGCGTAAGGCCACGGGTCAAGTGGATGACATTTAGTAAGTGAAGATTTATAGTTTGGTTGAATGACTTACCACCCTCTATTAGAGCCTTATATCTTACATAGCTATTTTCTATCACCTTCTACTGCCTATTAACCTTAGAAAACACTTGTGGTTGAGTACTTTTATACCACACAGTTGTTCAATGATCCAAATAATCAGTCTTCGGTATAAGTTCTTATTTTAATCTTACCATTGGCTCCAACGAAAGAAGTGAGTTTCGAGACCAATAACGATAACTGGTCAGCTATGTTAGCAAGATATTTTGCTGATGCTAAGGTTAGCTGTAAATAGTAAGGAAGCAGTTACGTTGTAACATGGCATTGTGAAGTCAGTTGAATCAGGTCTGAAGATATTGGAACATCATAAGAGTCATACAACTTGTACATTATTTCGGTAACTATATCTATCTCCCAACCATAAAGTCATACACTGCAAAGATGTAAACAATGTATTCAATTTTAACTAAGGTGGAATGTGAGTCACCACCACATGTAATGGAGAATGGATAAAACCACAAAATATTTTACTCGATGATGTATATATATTTCTTTTATATAATGTTGGGAATAGTGATTACGAGAACGAGCATGTAGAATTCTAAATTAATTAGTTTGTTTACTGTCCTTGTTACCATAATTTTCGAGCGAAATCAAGAATAGATCATACATAAACAATTTAGTGAAGTTCTAACTAACAATCATGAACTCATCTGAAGCTTAAGGTTTGCATAAGTTGTGTTTATCTTAGCTGGATTTTGCAAGGTTGAATATAAATACCTTATCAAGATCCAGCTAAGTGCAAGCATAATCAAAATGTTTAGTATATCTTTTCATCTCAATGATCACCCCCGCTAAGTGAAAGTCTTCACAAAAATTTTGAACAAATATCAACTGATTTTGCTAGGCTTATCACTGCTTATTGAGTTTGGGGAGAAACAGAAGATTTAGTCGCTTACCATACCACCACCATATCTTCTTTCAGAATGTGCCATTTCCTTGATACGTGCTTCCAGAGTCGCGCATTTCTCACCCAGCTTCTCATATTCATCTAGTTGTTGTTCCAACTAAGTTTTTAAGAAATGAAACGTAATCGTAGTATATATGAAGTGATTTAATCAGCATAAGTTCAAAATCATTATATATATATATATATATATATATATATATATATATATGTGCATGTGCGAAGTAAATTTAATAAGCTGGTTGAATGGTGTAGATATCATGACTATGCAAGTCTTGCGTTTACAAATTAAATGTCAGTAGGGAGTGATAAAAACACAATTGCCACCAATGACCACAGAAATAATTTAAGGAGTCTGCAATAAACTTAACAAGATGATCTAAATATCTTATAATCCAGTAATCAAATTCAGATGTATATACACCCAAATCGTGAGGCTTAATATCACTTACTACTCCACTGCTTAAACGGAAGTATGATATATCTGGAAGGCTAAAATGGTAATTAAGTAGGAAATTGAGAACATGGATAAAACTTTAAGAAGCGACATGCACGAATTTGTATTTTAGAATGCTTCAGGACCAAGCGAATTCATAAAAATAATGCAAAGAAACAAACCTGTATTTGTAGTTGCTTTTTATCACCACATAGTTCTTCAATCTTTTGCTCCAATCCACTTTTAACTTCTTTAAGTTCTGCGATACGGTTTTCAGATTTAGCCTGTTCGGATTTGAAATACTCATTAGCAGCAGCTAATCCACTCTCACTAGTTGTTTGGGAACTAAAAAAATAATTAATTGAGAAAACTAATTACCGGTCATTGACCAGATTATCAAAAAGTTCCTGTAACGCCTTCAATCGTTCTTTTAAGTCATCAGCATCTTCACCTCTAACAATAGCTATATTTAATTCCGTCTCTAGATTAGAGGTTTTATGTAACAAATTATCTCGTTCCTCCGTGATATTTCTCAAGCGTTCTTCAATCTCCTTTGTGAAATTGCTTTGTTTCACGATAATGCTATCCTTGATCTGACGAAGAGACTCAAGAAATAAAAAATAACTTACCTTTATCAAACCGGATGCTTCATCTGCACGCCTTTCAGCATCAGCTAATTTAGCTTCACAACTTTCTAATGTCATACGTACACGTTCACATTGTCCTTGTGAATCGGCTAATTCCTGCTTTGTGGCATCGAACGCCTTAAGACGCCCTTCTAAATCAGCAATCTGCAAACGACAATCCATAACCTTTTTTTTCTCATCCCTATTCTGATTGACAAGACTTCGATTGCTTAACTGCAAACTTGAAATATCAATCTTCAACTTTTTATTCTCTTCGACAAGCACCCTAAAAGGCGGTAAGAAACAAGTCTAATCACAAATGTATATACAGCTAGGAAAAATTAGCTTCCATGGGAAATATCAAAGCGTGGTGTGAGAGAGATACACAACAAGAGATTACTAGTCTAGTAATCACAATGAATTGTCCAGGATGTGGATTTGGTTCACAAAGGTTGATGAAATACACTAACCTGAACTAAACAGAACTCTCATTAACATACCCATATTGTTCCTCGTAATTGATTTCCTCTACCACAGTTTCTTCTGTCATCCTGAAAATGTAGTTTTACAGAAATATTTGGTAATATAGCAACAATTTTAGATGAAATAATGTAAAGTAAATTTAAAACGAGTTGAGACTGCTTGATAAACTTAAGAAAGTAAAATGCAAATGAAAGACGAGTCAATACTAAACGTTTAGTTTGATGGATATCGAGTGTCTTATGAAGTGAATCGAAAATGGGCTTGGCATCAAGAAATAGGTTTTTGGATCGCTATATTTTATTCGATTTGGCGCAAAGACTGCTAAGTCTATCCCTACTCCCCTCAGGATTCCGAGAAAGTAAAATGACATGTAGCACTGTATTTTGAGCAGCATAACGACCACCTTATGCCGGGAAAATAGAACACTAGTTTTGATAAACCTTTATAAACATTTAAACCTGATTATCGGGACATGGTTTTACACCTCACCAAAGAAAAAGCGCAGTTTGCTTGTATAAGTCATCAATATGTTAACTACAAGATTAAAGCTAAAATCCCACATTTCAGATAATGTAACGAACAACATGCCCAGTCATAGACAGTTGTTATAGGTGAAAGTTCGAAGTTTGAATACATGTATAGAGGCCTTCGTTCACTGCATTTTTTTTACCTTAGTAATACACTAGAACACAGATCCTGAATAATAGCATCTAACATATATCTAACTTTTAGCCATGAAAGTGTACAGCGACAATTTTAAAAATAGCTCAGCAATGGGTTTATGCCTCTTTATAAAAACCTTTCAGAAAACCCATTACGTGCTGAACGACGCAAGGGGCAAAGTTACCGTTTTCTATAATCCTGTAGAATGAAGTAACGGCAATACATAAAGTAATGTTTTCAAATTCCAGTAAATAATACAAACGACTGTAAAGCAGAAACCTACGTAGGTCATTGCTCTCCACGGATTCAGGGAGAGAAAAACTTATTTTTTATAGATGGTTGCAACTACCATAAGTCAGGAATTCGAAAAACGTATCACGAGGACCCGCATGGCATTTCTTACAATAATATGAGGATTGATTAGTGACAAAAGTCAGTCAGTCATGAACAACGTAGAATTTCGTATGTACGTACATCAGTTCGAGTTGCCATACCACATTAGCACAGAGATAAGTGATAGAATTTCTCCGTTACAGATATAGAATTCGTACGTACAAGCCAGGACTAAAGCTAAATCTGAGGGGTCTTTAAACTACTTTAGTGAAGTCCAGTTGAATGGCATTTATATTAACACTAGTCACTGATGAGAAATTGAAGACCGAATAAGTGCTTGCAACGTTTTTCGACCGACGCTATTTGAAAGGGACAGTGGTATTTTTCCTCGCCAAGTTAATTTTATTGGTGTGATCGTAAATTACGCATCAAAACTACCGTTTTCACTGAAATTGAATTCATTTCAGTTAAAGTATTCGCCAAGAGTATCGTTTTTTAAGTAACTTATCATCGGTACTTTTAAGTACACTGGTCTTTTGTTTTTGTTTGCACTTACGGTTCTAACAACTTGGTCATTAACTTCTCTTGTCTCTGGGTAGTGTGTGTCGTTTCTTTTGAAAACTTCCGATTAATGGCTGGATAGTGCAAAAGCGGTCGCTAACGCCTAGTCTGTTGATACCCTGTGGAAAGTGACACGCAGTGCGATGAGTGCAGAGGATGGTACGACGAAGTTTACACAAATCTAACGCCTGCGGCTTTTAAACGGTCTAGTGAAAATAGATGCGTGGTTGTGTAGGTAGTGCCGCTCGGACGCAAACAGCTTGCTATCCAAAGCCATTGCAATGGTGAATGCTGCCAAAACAAGTATTAACAAGCGTAGACGACACAATAGATAGTACTCGCTCGGTCGATACACAAATTGATGTGAAGTTACCTCAGAGAAGCTCAGAATCGTTTGACTTACATGGGCCAAAGAAAGGACAGCTTATAAAGGGGCTTGTTAGAAACAAAAGCTCAAAGGAAGTTTCTTCTGTCCAACGTCCTGAGAATGACTGTCAGCAGGAAACGCCTAGAAAACTTAATAGTAAGACTAGGTCCATTTTTAGCAGAAAATTAAAACCTGACTACCCAAGTCATCAACAATAGTCCAGGATCCCACAATGTGTAACGTGACTGTGATTGCTATTCCAATGAAAGTTGATGAATGAATACAGATCAAGAATAAGAAACGACGTAAGGTTACTAAATAAAAGCCAGTCCCTTAAACAGTAACTGAGAAATTCAAGACTGATTATAGTAACAAGTCAGTTGTATTTCATAGTCAAGGAGAGTCAGTGAGCTACAACGTAGGACCAGCCACAGATTTACATTGGTCCAAGTTGTTTTTATGGTAAATGTACATTTAGCAAAGTTGTTTTCAACGGGATGCGGTTGCTGATTCTATGTTCAACCCTCCTCACTTTTCCCGTCTTGGGACCGGCAGTAGCTCAAGAATAGCTTTGGCTGGAGTTACTAGAAATACTACACCGTTTACCGTCATTGATTACGTATCCTGAGTGGGGCGTGTGAATTAGTTGGTTGCTGCTTGAAACACACAGCAAGAGCTGATGATTGGTTTGGCCTACCGCAGTTAAAGCTGAGGTGAACGAAGTCTTGCTAGATGGTCACAACACTTGGTTACAAAGTGGTCGACGTTTAATCTTAGTACACTTAAACGCACCTACGATAGACTGGCAAAATCTGAGAATTGAATCATCCCAAAAGTCGTATGGACAGAAACTGGTTGACGTGGTTATCATATGTGCTCTAGTGCAACATGAGAAAGAAGCAACTAGGTACGACCCAGACTCCGAATCGTCCTTAGATCTCATTTTGATCCATTTATTTATTTGATCTAACACATAGATATTGGTACAAGGATGCACCAATACATGCGCCACACAAATCTGATTCGATGTGTGAGGGCTGTGATACTGCCCGGGTACCTAAACCGAAGCAGGTAGTTTTCTTAGAAGGCCACATCCCGAGCCTTTGACCTAAAGGTCTGACGCACAAGGCAGTGGAACATCGTGAGGAGATGCGGTCCCATGGTAGCCAGTGACCAACAATTGGTTCATACGCCATTTGTTCCCGCAGGATACTGGAGCCCATGTGCACCATTGGTTTGTGATCCAGTTAAATCGCCAGACATTCGCTTTTTGTCCTCTCACTTTCGTAAACAACACCCCCGCCACGAGAAGGCAGTGAGTAGGACTTCCCTGGCAGAGGCTGTATACGCCTGGCTATGTGATAGCATTTGGAGAGGGAAAGCGGACTCTCCCGGCTCTCGGCCGTACCAGGGCATTTGGGAGACATCCAGTACCTCACGCAAGCAGCTGTTTATAAATACTTGTACATTTTTGATGATGGTCTTAGTAGTTGTAGTAACACGTTTTAATGTTATTGATAGATATTTGAATAGATTGTAACCAAAATATATACGAGGACGATGTCACAAACCTTGATTACATGCCAGACTCAGGTAAAAGTGATCATGCAGTTATAACCTTTGATTTCCATATAGTTGTCAATAACGAGCATGTGTCAGCCCGACCTAGACCTAACATCCGGAAAGCAAATATAGATATTAAACACTCAGCATCCACAATAGATTGGATAAGAGCCAGATCCCCCGATTGATAAGACTTGAGAATTCATTACCTCAACACATAGTTGAAGCTTTATTCACCGGAGCTTTCAAAAGAAACTTGGACCAACTGAGAGACCGCCATTAACAGGAAAACAAACCACCCAGCCCTCTGTCCCTTCCAACATGAAACTGAAAAACCCAGGGTTTTTGCTGGCTTAGTAGCCTAAGATCTTGCAAATTATTACGCTCCGACGGGTCATAACATTGGTTGATCACCTCACACAAATTGCTCAGGAATTACACTGAGTTTATAATCTACCTCAGACGCATACAAGGGGCGGGATGGGTGCATTACCTGATACGAAAACAGTACTAGTCTAGTCAGTAGTTGCATAATGGTCCCAGAAGTTGCAATATTGAATGTCGTTGTATTCTTACGCTGTTACCGAATTTCCGGCTGTTAAGTGTTACCAACATTACTTGGTGTATAAGTACTTGGAGTATAAGTACTGGTCATCTTAAGTCTGAGCTTCAGACAAGTTCAGGTCAATTCATTAGGTGCTCTCAAAGTTAATGTTCAGAAGTTAACAAATCAACGAGAGTTCTAATGGACACAAGTAAAAGTAATAAACCATTATCTGCGAAAGTTGGACATGTGAATTTAGGAGCGATGCATTGAAAACGGCCGTATACCGCGATGTACAAACACTAAAGTCACTCCCTGAAATCATATGAATTAACCACCTATTTTATATCTGATTAGAAATGCTGTAACCCGAGCCTCGCCGACAGTACAGATTTAATTGTGTAGGGAAACCAAAAAACCGACATAAAAATGTGTGCAACTGATCTAAATGAATAAGAGAAGAGTAGCAACTCGACGTACTTGTTGAAAGACACTTCGCTAATATAAAATAAGATAAGGCCAATGTGGTGCTGTACAAAACCGAAAACAGACTTTTTAACCTACCCACGCTGCTTTGAGTATCAGGCACACAGTAAAACAAAACCACAGAAGTTTATATGACCAAGTAAGTTAACTTTCCGTTACTACAAACAGTCATTCGAGTTCTTATAAATGACTATTGAGAACCACAATAAACACACTGACGAATATTTATTTCAGCATCTGTAATATCAACATATACAAAAACTAAATGGTTCAAATGGTTGTTGACGGAACAGAAGAAGCTTTCGTTTAACGGGCTTCTGTGCCTGGTAGCAGTGGATCACCGATATCTACAGGCAGGAACCTGGGTATATTAACGATTGTGGCGGTAAATAAATCGCCAAAATAAATAGCTCTACGTTTTCGACATTGGATGCTGACCATATGTTTTAGTGGACTCATCTAGCTGAAGGCGCTCGGTCATGCATCCGCACCAAATCACGTGTGGTAACGCCGTGCTCAACATCAACCGCAATCGCTAGCCAGATTAGAT